TGATGAAGGGGATATAACTGTAGGAATCTATTACAGACATCCTTACCAGGGGAAGAGCTTGACCACAAATTTGTTAGCAAACTGGCAGAGGCTGCATGGTCTCAGCGCGTGGTCGTCATGGGTAACTTCAACCATTCTGATATCTCATGGGAAGAGTATTCAGCCAAATCTGATTGGTTGCAAATCTTCCTCACTTGCGTTGATGAGCTCTACTTGACTCAAGAAGTCTATGGGCTGACAACAATTACTTTGCATCAGTCTTCCACCAGCCCAAGGGGATCACCCTGCCTGACAGACACAGGACTACCATGGCAACGGCGATCATATGTCTATAATTGGCGAAAATCTTGTGAGGGAACAGCTTGAGAGGCTGGACACCCACAAGTCAGCTGGCCCAGATAGAACACACCCTATCTGTGCTAAAAGAGTTGGATGACATCACAGCATGACCAATGGTAAGGATATCTGAGAACTTGTGGTGCTTCAGAGAGGTTCCTAAAGACTGGAAGAGGGCCAGTGTAGTGCTGATCTTCAAGAAAGGAAGGAAGGAAGAGCCAAGGAACAACAGGCCAACCAGTTTAATCTCAATCGCTGGAAAGACCTTGGAAAATATCAAAGAAACTATCAACAACAGGCTAACAGAAGGTAACATTCTGAAAGTTAGCCAACATGGCTTTGTTGCGGGTAGGTCTTACCTGCCCAACCTCATTTCCTTCTATGACCTGGAAAAAGGAGAAAAGGTTGATGTCATTCTAGATTCAGGTGTCAGAATGGCTAAGCTCACAGATGACACCAAATTATGGGGAAGTATGTTCATGCTAGAGGATAGGCTGGCAATTCAGGCCAACCTGGATGGGCTTGCGAGGTGGGCAGATCAAAACCTGATGACATTCAACATGGAGAAATGCAACGTGCCGCACCTCAGGAGAAAAAAACAACATCATACTTATAGGCTCGGCAATGCTACACACAGTAGCACCATGACCGAAAAAAACTTGGGGGTCATGACTGACCACAAGATGAACATGAGCCAGCAATGCGATGCCGTAGCCAGCAAAGCAAATCGAGCTCTGGCTTGCATCTACCAATGCATCTCAAGCAAGACACAAGAAGTCATCCTTCTACTTTACTCAACCTTGGTGAGACCGCAGCTGGAGTATTGCATCCAGTTCTGGGCTCCACACTTTAAAAAAGATGTGGAGAAGCTTGAGAGCCCAGAGGAGAGCCACATACATGATTAGAGGTCAAGAGAACAGGTCTTATGAGGAGAGGTTGAGAGGCATGGGACTCTTCAGCCTGGAGAAGAGAAGGCTCAGGTGTGACTTGGTAACAGCCTATAAGTATATAAAGGGTGTTCATCAGGAACTGTTGACCAGGGCACCCGCAGGGAAGACAAGGTCTAATGGTCATAAACTGCAGGAAGACCATTTTAGACGGGACATAAGGAAAACTTCTTTAATGTCTGAGTCTCCAGAGTCTGGAATAGATTCCCCCCAGAAATGGTGCAAGCATCTACTCTGAATATCTTTAAGAAATGCTTGGATGCTTATCTTGCTGGGGTGATCTGAACCCAGCTGACTTCCTGCCCCTTGGGCAGGGGTCTGGACCCAATGATTTCACAGGGTCCCTTCCAGCCCTAATGTTTATGAATCTATTAATCTATACCTGGCAAAGGAAGTTAAGGACAAAAAGAAAAGGTTCTATAAGTATGCTGTCCAGAAAAGAAGGACCAAGGATGCTGTGGGTCCACTGTTAACAAGCCAGGAGGATTAACACAAGATGCAAAGAAGGCACAGCTACACAACAGCTACTTTGCCTGAGTCTTCACAAAAAAAGTAAGCTGGAGCCAGATGCCTAATAAAGATTGTTTGGATAAGGAAGGGGGCAAGTGGAGAGAAGACATAACAACAGAGACTGTCAGAGAGCTTTTGATGGGACTGAATGAATTCAAGTCAGCAGGACCTGATGAACTCTATCAAAGGGTATTGAAGGAACTAGAAGAGGAGATCTCAGAGCTATTCATAATAATCTTCATGAAGTCATGGGAGACAGGTCAGGTACCAGAGCACTGGAAAAGGGCCAATACAATACCCCTCTTTCAAAAATGCAAAAAGGAGGACCCAGGAACTGTAGACCTCTTAATCTCACCTCAATATCTGGGAAGTTACTGGAACATATTCTAAGGCAGGCCATTTGCAAGCATCTGGAGGAGGCTCACAAGCAGCCTCCATGGATTTATGGAAAACAAAGTGTGTCAAATGAACCTGATCTCCTTCTCTGACACAGTAACTACTTGAGTAAATGAAGGGAATGCTGTGGTTATATAGTACCTGGACCTCAGCAAGGCATTTGACAAGCTTCAGCATGACCTTCTCATAAACAAATGGGAAACAGGTGAGCTAGATAAAACTACTACAAGGTGGATAGATAACTGGCTCAACAGCCGCAAACAAAGGGTAATTATTAACAGCTCCTTGTCAGAATGGCAGGAGGTTTCAAGTGGAGGCCCATAGGGGTCTGTCCTGGGCCCAGGGCTGTTCAACATATTTATTAATGATTTGGATGCTGGCATAGAAAACTTCTTAAGCAAGTGTGCAGACATCACAAAACTGGGAAGGACTGTGAACACACTGGAGGATGTGAGTGCAATTCAGAAGGATCTCTACAGACTGGAAAGCTGGGATGGAGCTAACAGAATCAAGTTCAGTGAAGACAAATGCAAGGCGCTATAGCTCAGGAGGAATAATCAAAAACACAGTATAAAATGGGTGACACTTGGCTGGATGGCAACACTATGGAAAGGGACTTCGGAGTCTTAGTAAACCATAGGCTCAATATCAGTATGCAGTATGATGTAGCCACACAAATGACAAATGCAGCTTTGGGATGCATCAATAGAAGCAGTTAGGTGCAAGACACAGGAGGTGATAGTGCCTCTCTACTGTTAAGCCTCATCTGGAGTTGTATATGAAGTTCTGGGCTCCACCTTCTAAAAAGAATATATAAAGTTAATTTATACTTGGAATTAACAGCAGTGTTTCTTTAAGTAAAGCTACTTAAATTTACTAGAGTGCAAACAATTTTGGGACACATTTACTAGATATGTAAGTTCTGAAACACATTACTGACACAATTAATGCCAATATTTTACTAACTTTGATTTCTTACAGAGATACTGTAGGTTAAAAGGAAAATGCTTCAAACTTAATAATGACATTTCATAATTATGGCTTAGATTTATCCATAGGCTCTTTCTAATAAGGATTCCAAGTAATATGTCATAGTATAGGATTATATGAAAAAATGTATATCAAATGGGAAATCAAGTGTCTATTTTAGCTAATTAAAATTTTCCAAAAATTACTGAATAACATGTTTAAAAAAGGAACATTGCCAAATAGTTGATTCCAACATCTCATCTGCCTAAAAAGGTTATTACTGGAGGACTACCCTACTAATGCTAAAAATCTTTATTTTAACCCTACTAGAGCCATTTCAATAAGTGTAATTAAAAATTCCATATATATATAAAACTTATTTGCAGCATATAATGTATACACGCATGCACACACGTACACACAGACGTTTAGTATTTTAGCACAATACTTTAAACTTGGATATTTACAATGTTCTTCTATGCCAGGGGTTTTCAACCTTTTGGGATTAGTGTACCCCTGGTGGCTGGATGCAGAGCTGGGGGGAGGGGAGGTGGTGTGTGGCCAAATGCCATGCGAGCTTCCCCCACCTCCACGTCCGGCCAGGCAGGCAGTGCCTGCGCAGCAGTGCAGGATGATGCGTGGTGGCGCTCCATCCCCACCCACCCATGTGCACCCACTAGGGCCTTCTCAAGTACCTACCCCTGGAGTATATATACCCCCAGTTGACAACCCCTGTTCCTATGCAACTCCATTACCATAGGTAGGGGTCTACCCAACTTCAGGAGGCAGCTAACCAATTTCACAGGCAGATTGTGGTGGAGCCCCCCACACCAGTGATTGGTTGAGGGGCCCTGGTGGCACCACTCCCTGCTGCTGATTGGTGGTAAGGGCTGTCTATCATGTGGCCCTGCCCCCTCGCTGCTGTTTGTCTGAGAGGGCTATCTGTCTGTCTGTCACGTAGCCCCACCCCTCACCACTGAAGGGTGTAGAGAGACAGGGCCACACAAGCAGTCCTCTCAGCCAATCAGCAACAAGGGGCAGGGGCGGCAGCGATCCTGCCTGCTCGTCTTTGTGCTGGCAGCCCCTTTTGTGCCCTGCTGCATGGCCAGGACTGCTAGCTCTCACTGGGGAGGTAGCATTTGACTTCTAGGAAGTTTTTTTGAGCAAGTTTTTGTCTTGTTTTTTTTCCCCCCATAGATTTCAGGAAGATCTCCCGATTCCATGATTTCCATTAAATCCATGCGATCATGATTTGAGTAGGTCCCTACTCACAGGAATCACAGGAAAGTAGGGCTGGAAAGGACCTCACAGGTCATTTAGTCCAACTCTCTGCACAAGACAGAATCATTCCTGACTAAACCACACCAGCCAAGTGTCTGTCTAACCTGCTTGTGAAATTTCCCATCCCCTACAGCAATGGAGAAAAGCTCATCTCCACGAGAAAGCCAGCAAAATTTAACTTATGTGCTCATCGAACAGATATGCCAAAGAAGAAAAGTAATGTGGAACCATCACCTTAGCTGTCCTGTGTAAAATACAAAGAAATTGAAAGAAAAATGAAAGTAAATGAAATTAAAAAGAGTATTTTTTTAAAATCTCTTAAAATGAGTTTCAAACAATGGAGGATTAATAAAACCCAACCCAAATAAGTACTTCAAATAAAAAAAATAGTGGATTAAATTTTAAAAGTGTGTATTTATTTAGGAGCACACAACTACCCCCACATTTAAATATAAAGAGCAGGGAAATATTTTCTCTTCTAACATATTAAGTAAAATAAAATTTTATTTAGATTATTTACTTTTTCTGACCTTTTTTCTTCATTTTTCTAAAGAAATTTACCTGCAGGTTGATCTCTGCTTCATAGAAAGTTAAACATGAACAGTAGTGTCGTTCTGAGTCTATATCAGTCAAAACCACCACAAAAAAGGTAGGCTGTTTTCTCTCTCTGGACAGCTGCCATCCTCCAGGCTGACAAAACTAATTAAAGAAAACAAGAGAATATAAAAGTATTGTTAAAAATCAATACTACTTTAGAAATCATCTAATAATTTCTAACAACATAACAACATAACCTTTTCTGAAATACAAAATGTAAAATACGTATTTTTTTTCTTGCATGTTTGCTCAATATTATATTGAATGAACAAAACAAGGAGTTATCATCAGCTGATATAAACACATCTCCATAGACATGAATGGAATTTTAATCATTTACATTAGCTGAAGACCTGCCTTGGGAATTCTTATTCCAGCCTCCTTGAATGCATCAATTGTAGCAATGGGAGTTACATACATAAAAATGAGAAAAATAGCCAAGTCCTTGTTCCGTAGAGCCTAAGAATTTACAACTTAAAATTGCTTTTCTGTTTTTTATTATAACATCTCTGCATGAAACCAATATTTTCATTTCAATGTCTATGTTTAAAATCTACAAACATTTTTAATATTAGTTTTATGTATAAGATACATCTTTCAAAGGTAATTCTGAAAGATGAACTGAGGATTTAACTTGATTTTAGCCTACTGTTCGAGTGAAGTGGCAAAACTATGTTGCAACCTGTTTTTTTCCTTCAAGATTTCAAGCTATATACAAGCAAAAAAAAAAAAAAAAAAGAGATTCTTTGGTGCTGAAACCCAAACCATAGCAACCTCTGATCTGAGGACCATAATGCTATCATGACTTCTTGTCTCTTTCCGAAAACTCAAAACTAGTCTGGATTAAACTTCAGGCGTTCTGGCCTACCTGCTATAACTTCAGGGGGTAAAGCTTGCTCCTCCTGCAGACAAGGTTCCTAACACTTTCCAATTAATACCCTGTTTTCAATTGCGTATAGCTTTGCTTGCTTTAAATATTTAGGTTGAAGTTTTCTATGTTGGAGAGTTGCCTCAGGCAGGATTTATTTTTCTTAAATTTCAGCAGAACATCAGCACTACTGTCCCAAATTGGCTCTGTACACAGGGCAGGGGGCATTCCCATGGGACTCAAACCTTCCTGGACATGTGGCACACTGCAAGTCCCACTGACTCTGCTCCTTCCCTTGCTGAGAGTCATGATGCCCCAGTTCAAGTCCTGCTATCTCTGCCCCTATGCCCCTTCTCTATGCAAAGAGTAGTGAAAGACCTGATGGCGCTCATCCCAATACAAGTCAAGCAGGGTTATAGGGGCAGTAAAAGGGTGAAAGGGTTATGAAAACACTGATGGGTCAAGGAGAGGTGGGGGTAGAAACAGTTCAGGGCTCAATCCCAATTGCTCAGTCCCCCTGCTGGTGTTTGAGGGTTGTGTTTGATAGCCCAAGTTGGTGCTCTGGGACCTGTGGGGGAAAAGGCAGGGAAGAAGGAAACAGTGCACCTTAGGATGCTAGAGGAGACAGCATAACCTTATCATGCCATGCATTCAAATTAAAGCACAACGCAAACCACCTAAAAATGTTCTAAACTCAACAAGTAACATTTTTGTGGCTGGTTCACCATTTTTGTAACTGGTTTGTAAGTTTTATCACTGGTTTGCCATTTGTTTCCCATGACAAATTGTCTAAACATGTGGCATACTACAATTAATCATGATTAAAGCATTAATCAATAAACAATGCCTACTAGAGGTTATGTACATGCATACCATGAAGACTTCTCAGAAGCTGCCTCTTAACTTATCTGAACTAAGCATGCTCCATCTTCACATGATTTCTACTGCACTCACTAGACTGAGTAGGGGCTTCATATCAGTAAACTAGGATTTACTGTGCTAGTTTCCAGCACTGAGAGCAGAAACAGTCTGACTCTAGTGCTCTACAAACTGGTGTACACGAGGAGGAAAAAGCAGCCAAAATCAAATACAAATGAGTAAGGAGTATGTCATCTCCTGCTAGTGATTTGTACATAATGCTGCTAACAGCCTACTATCAAACATGAGCAAATTACATGTTACGAATTCAGGGCTGTCCATCTTCTAAATGGCTGGAGACCACACCAGCATGAGCCATCAGCGCCTTGGGCTGCACTGCATACCCTGCCACCCCACTGTGCTGCACCATGGGCTCCCTCAGCATCCAACTTGACGCATTTTGGTTCTGATTTCTAGAAGCATTCACAGTTACAAAATTCATTCATTTTCCCATAAAAACTGTAATAAAAGTTACTTTAATATTTTAAAATGAACACATTGAAAGGGACCTTAGAACTCAGTACAAAAACAGGTTACTATACAATGAGATTATTAATATCAAATAAGCAATTAACCATTCGGAACAGCAAGAAAAATGTTCCAAAGCTCTATACCAAAGAGACAAAAAACCTCTACTAATAGAGAGAGAGATATAACATAATCAAAAGTTCATCTAGGTCTCCTGTATGGTAAACAAAAAAGAGAAGTTTAAACATGAACTCTGATTTTCATATTGCTTCACTTAATTTGCCAGAATTCTTGGAACTGGAACACAGATTCTATCAAAGGCATTAAAAATTCAAAACAATGAGCTTGTCTGGGTTGGGATGTATAGTATGCAGAATACAACTGTGTGGCTGCTTCTAATCCTACACCTTAGGCATTTCTATTCCTAACAGTCTAATACAAGTATTCCATCAGCTGACCTAAAGGAATAAATAAAGGTACACCTGTATTTGAAGTTGCGGAATTACATTACACACTGTGCTCAAGGCAGCAAAAAACTTTCCACTGACTAGTCACAAGTGCTTTTCTACAACATGTTTAGAGCAGGAAACTAGGTCATGTTTTAAAATGTTAGACAGCACATTTTTTAACAGAGATGTAGTTGAAATTTACTGCCACTAAAAATGTTCTGTTTACCCTCTATGGCTTGGTGATGACAAGCCAATGTTTTTTAAAATACTTAAAATGGGTCTACCCTACTGTTTATAAATTAATTAAAACTTGCTTGTGGGCAAGTTTTTGAGATGATCTATAGTCTTAAACTAGTGATGGCTATATTCTTAATACTGCATATCGTTTTATGAAAGCACATGCACTTGCATAGTTCAGCAAGAATTTCCAAAGGGATCCTATGCTCTTGTATGTTATTAAATTAATTGATTCCAGTGTTACAGCACTTGAAGTGAAAGAATTTTAAAAATTTACTTTACTATTACCAATGTCATTTTCAAATTTGCAATGTTACAAATAGGGTGCGTCTAAATGTGCAATTAAATGTGAAGTAATAAACTCCAGAGCTTATTGCTCTGGCATTTATTGCTACAAGGCACACTATTTCCATATGCACCCGTGACTGCAACATATTGAGGCAGGTTAGAGCAGCCCCAGCTGGCACAGGGCCCAGGGGTCAGCCTGCCAGCCCAGAGTTGCTCCCCACCAGCTCAGTATACTGTGGAGAGGCTGGCTAGGGCATGAGGGTGCTCCAGTGCAGGACTGGCCAGCAGGCAGCCCCTGCACTGAAGCACCCTTGTGCACCAGCCAGGTGGGAAAACAGCTACGTGTGTACTGTGGTGGAGTAAAAAATTCCACAGCAGGATAGTACTTGTAAATAGTGCTATATAACTACAGCAGGACCCAGAACAACCAAAGAAGATTGGACCAGGCTATCCCATATTTAAACATTTACAAGTATTTACAAGTACTGTCCTGCTGTGGAGTTAATTAGTTTACCCTAGCTTGATAGGGGCACATGTGGAGACAGAAAATGTTTACTGTGGAGCTAATTAGTCTACCCCACTGTAAGTGTCTCGTGTAGACGCACCCACATTATAAGAAATATTTTTATGTTAAAAGTTTATCTGGAAATAATGTTTTAAAAACTGTGCTGTCTTTATTATTACTTACTAAGAAGACCAAAAAATTCTTCCTCTCATCAGTCACAAATGCAATTCTTTGATTTGAGTTTTACCCCTCAGTGGCATCAGCTCCCAGGCGCAGAGGAGGAAAGGAAGCTTGCACATGGTGGCCACAGCCACCACCCAGTGCCCTGTGCTGCCGCTGCTGCACATCCAGCTCCCCTCCCTCCCCCCTGGCTGTTCTCAGGGCCCAGCAGCAGTGGTGGGGTGACCCACTGTGCCCCCCCTTCCCTTCTTGCTTCCCTCCTCCCCACTGCCTCTCCCTCCCTGCCAACTTCTGTTGTGGCTTGGTGGTGGCAGCAAAGTTGGAGCAGGGGGGCAAGGCCAGCACTGTGCTGCCAGCACCCATGCTGCTGCCTCCAAGGAGCAGAGCCAGGGGGAGGGGCGGAGAGTGCCACTCCATCTCCGCTGTCATGGTGGCACTCCGCCGTCCCAGTCCATCCCTGCCACTGCCCATCATGACTGACAGAGGAAGTTATAACAAGAATCAGTGCTGTGACATGGAGGTCAGAACAGAAGATTTCATGATCTTCTGGCCTTAAACTCTCTTAATTTATGATAAAAATACAAATACAGTGGAAGGCAGCATGTTTAACATTAAAAAAAAAAATCTTTCCCTTCCCTGCCAACCACCTTAAAGGAAACACAACATTGTTTCTTTATATGTCACATTCAAAACTCTCAATTTACTATTAAAAAATAACAAACCATTGGAAAAAAACCTCTTAAATGCCCTAAAATATGGGTGTTTTCAATTATGTAGAATAATTAAATCATTGTCCTAGAAGTCAGATGATATACTAGAAGTGGGTGGAATGAAACTTGTGCTTTTCAGTAAACTGCAAAAATAAAACCTGAATGTTATATTGCACTTGATAGTAGAGCTGAAATATTGTAGCCATGGTAGTCTAGGAAATATATGAGGCAAGGCTTTTTTTTGTGACCAACTGTATAATTCAACAAGCTGTATGCACAAAGATGTCCCCCAACCCTTCATGAGCCATCTGGAAGAATATCTAGAAAATTGTGTCATCAAATCTATATTATACCTGTGCTACAAAGATAATATTTTCATCATCTGGCCTGAATACATGAACTCCTTTATTGACTTCTACCATAGAGTCAACAGATGCCACTCTTCAAAGCAAACTCTTCCTGGAATACTCCTACATCAA